TATATATATATATCGATGTATACAGACCATTAGCTCCAGTGATTTGGTCTTTGGTGATATAAACCAGGCAGTGATCTCATTTATTCTGATTGTTGATGCTCACATAAGATTATCTAGACACCCTCATTCTCCAAAACGAGTCTCCATCTATCAAACATAGTAATCGCACATACTTATGTATTGAACACACGCATACAAATCACATATGCTATTGAACCTAAGTGCGTACTTAACATTTCAGCTGAACATATCAGTTTGAATGCGTAAGATAATTGCATCTGAAACATGAATGTGCAATAGCAGAGAGGTTGAGAATAAAATGGTAATTCTTCTGGGATTTAGCAATATGTATAATGAATATGATTATTTGAATATGTGGGTAAGACAAAGTCCAAAGCCGATTACCGAAACCAATTTTAAACATATACATTTCAATTGACCTTTGACGGATTATTATGTCTATATTAAGCAGGAGATTTGATAGGCCAGGGATAGTCATATGCTCAAAGATATTACTATAAAACAAACAATATAAATATATGTTAAATATTGTTATGAGGGTTTTAATTAGAGGTCGACCGATGTATCGGTTTATCGGCACCGATAGTTGATTGCTGGAACTATTGGTTATCGACAAAAATCCATGCCGATAGTTTTCCAGGTTGCGTCCATTGCTGGAGCGGCTGAGAAGGGTCTGCTGTCATTACACAGTGCGAGAGCGGCCTCTAGTGGTTGAAATCACTGACAGCACGTGCTATTTGTTTAGACTCGTGATACTGCACTGAAGCAAAATCCACTATCGGTCGACCTCTAGTTTTAATAATTGTGATTCAGTTCATTTATATAATGTGCATTGTGTAATTAATTTGATTACAATTTTTTAAATGATTGCCAGTAAAAAATTAACTAGAAATTACCCTTACATACAGTAGTTACTGTACCATCATAATCCAAACCAGCAGATGACTTAATAAAAATTGGGAATAACTCAACTTTGGGAGTTATTTTAGCGAGATCAGATCAAACGTGAATTGCAGGATGTAACATAGGCTAGAGGAAAGGTGAGAGAATAATATACAGTAATTTTTGCAGCTTCTAATCCAACAGTTTCTATTCCTTATCATTTTTCTCATGCAGCTAGAAATAGAAGAACTGATAGTTCCTGCTGCTGGGAAATCTATCGTCTCATTAAGGGGATAATCCACGGTGAGCTCTGATCCTGCAGATATGCATTCGTGAATTGCGTCTCTGACCAACACAAAGCATCTCAGGTGAGATCAGAGGTTCAACTGAAGAGTTCAAGAGGGTAATAAACCATTCCTCTGATATGAGAAGAGAAGCTAATGTTTATTTGATTTAAAACTCTATTTTCCTAAACCTTGAGGCAGAATAAACAGTTTCTCTAGAAGCTACTCTCTTTCTCTGGATAAATTGTATCATATCTTAGACTAGAAATGCAACGCACCAAATATAATCTGCTGTATTCAAATCAATAATTGCATTGGTAGTTGATTAGATCTCAACACATCAGTCACTAAATCTGAATGAATTAGTGCGATACTCTCATTCGTCATATCAACGTAAGTGAAGTCCATCTCTAGATAGATTAATAGCCTGTTAGGACTTGCTGTCCAGTCATCTGTTTATGTCCACTCCAAAGGTGCTTCTAGGCTGTTTGTAGTTATAACCAGCTGCTCTCTGACTTCCCCAAGTCATTAGAGCCCAGTGATGCAGAAATAAGTGGAAAACATGAGGTGAGATGTGCACTCCTAACTCAATTTCAGAGTGCATCTGCGGCGGGCTTGTTGGCGGGTACGCCAGAGGCTTGGCTTTGCTTTTGGCTTTCCGTCTGCTGACGCTGATGCTGATGTGAACTTGGCTCCCTTCTCTTGTTCAATTCATTATGACCCTCTAATGACTGCTTTGAAAGCCCATGATAAATTTATTTGTCAGAGCTACTGAGGGATCATCTCAGGTTATGTATGTAACCCTAGTTCCTCGAGGGAACGAGACGCTAAGAGAGCCTTCCGGGAGCGAAGCGTACGCAGTGGGAGGCGCTCGTAATGCGGGCAGCTGGCCCCCTCAAGAGCCGACTCTACGTGCTTCGCTCCCAAGCAAACCACGCACAGGCTGTGTGTATCCCCACTCGTGATATAACGTGGGCAGGGAGGAACACACAACCTATAACGTGGCTTGCACTCGCCCTTTGCATGCTTTGTCTTAGCGTGAGCCTTAGACATAGCTGCTTATTAGACTTTTTCTCACAATAGACAGACAACAATAAATATGACTGACACACACAGAGCGCTTCGCTGAATGACAGAAAGCTGACGCTGGCTCCGCCGCACGTGCTTTTATAGCTTCCTGGTCATGACGTCATCCGCCGCGACGTCCCGTTCAGCTATTGGACTGATTTCACATGTGATTCAGAGCGTGGGTCGCAGAAGGCGTTCCCCTAGCGTTTTCGACGCAGCTTGAGTTCCTGAAGAGGAACTCATATTTTACCCACTGCACAAACTTCTTTTCAATGACCGAATCAAAATGCATTAGCATAGCAAATACGAATGCAATGAAAACAGCCCAGTGATATGGTAACGAAGATGATTTGCTGCTCACTGTGGTTGAATCATCAGGAGCTTTTATTAAAGACTAGAAGTTTCACGAGACTCACAAGGGCTGTCTTTTATTAGCTGTCGCGTGGTTACTTCCCACAAGCAGCTCTTAACTTCTCCTTGCACTAAAGTAAGGTCATGTTCGTATGTAAACAAACAGCGCTAGCAGCTCAGCTAAATGACACATAATGGAGCTCTGGGGCTGCATGGTGTTTGCCCATTTGATATAATGTTTGTTCAGAGTTATCTATTTTCCATTTTTATCCACAGGGAAATGATGATTAGGATTGTATATACAGTTTCAAGTTGTAAATCTCCCTGTCCTCTTGCAGAATAATCTAGCATGTAGATAGATAGAGGGAGATAAGATCATTTTATTCACCATCTGATTTATGGGTTTATACTGCTTGTGGGTTTGCTACATTATTAAAATATTTATTTGAACAGAATGCAACACAACTTCAGTGGAAACACTGTAAACCATGTATTGAAGAAAATAAACAGATGATGACTGAATGTTTGTGATCTATTTTTTGTATTTTATTTCAGCTATTTTATTTGTAAGAAATATATAAAGTACCAATAATATGTCTTTACTATTCAACTTTCAGAAATATAAAGACAAGCACCCACAGAAAGTGAAAATGCTTCTTTTGTCGATGAATGTCAAATAAAATGTCCAGTGAAATTTCCCAGCTCCCATCTCCATCGTCATCATCTATTTTACAGAACAACGCTGATCTTTATTCATCAGACAATGAACCGAATCTCTGTATAAGCTGATTTTTTTTTTCTATTATGATCCTTCTCCTGAGAATGATGCTCTTTAATTTTCTCTCTCTCTCAGTCTCACAAAATATGTTTTTATGACTATGTCTGAGACTAGAGATTATATCTGAACATCTATCCTAGAACAAGCAGTGAGGGTATTATTATGTTGTTATGATATATATTACGATCCTGAATTATTTCCATATTCGTGTATCATGGTATTGTTATGGTAAAAACAAAAAACATGGTATTAACACCATACACATCAGTACACAGTACTCAGATCATTATGGAGTAAATAACAAAAATGAAAATTCTGTCATTATTACTCACATTCACATTCCAAAACTCTTTCTTCTGAGGAACATAAAAGAAGATAGTTTGAAGAATGTTTAACTTTTCTTGTTCACTATGTGAAAGTCAGTGGGGTCTAAAACAAGATTGGACCCCACTGACTTCCACTGTATGGACAAAAATCACTGAGACATTCTTCAAATTCTCATTCTTTTATGCTTCATAGAGGAAAGAAAGTCATACAGGTTTGGAAAGATATGAAGTTGAGTAAATGATGACATAATTTATATTCTGGAGTGCACTATCCCTTTAACCTCTGTGAACTCTACCACAAACTAATCACAGATCAGCATGAACAGGTTATTTCCATCACTGTAACCCCAATGAACAGCAGAGCAGCATCGCAGTAAGAAAGTTCCCATATAAATAGCATGTCCATAACCGGCTGATATATCACACACAAGCACACTGGCCTGGCGGGAATAAGCAGGTGTTCGGCATGCATAGCATGTATAAAGATCACAAACCACATTCCCATACGGAATGCAAAACGTGAGCTGTTTCGAGGATAAGGGCATCACTGCATATTTAGAGGGGTCGCACAATGTTTCTGCGGTGTCCTCATTTATCTGTCATTATTCTGGAAATCCCTTGTAGTCATTGTGGGGGTGGGAGAAAGAGCTAAATTTAGATCAGAGGAAGAGGTCCCTTGTTTAATCTGGAGTAATATAAATAGCAAAGAATCTTGTCATACAGTAACATTTATGCAACAGTGAGACAAGGTTCAACAAACTACAATAGCTGTTGTCAAATTCAAAGACTTACCCTTGGGAAGCTTGTGACTGTTTTCCACCAGCCAGGTGAACAGGTTGGCAAAGTTGCAGTTGCACACCCAAGGGTTGCCTTCTAACCTTACCACCCTGAGGGAGGGCAGCTGGCTCAGGGCACCCACCTGTAGCCCAGACAGGGCGTTGCGTTCTAGTTCTAGTTCACGCAAGGAGGTAAGACCCATGAATGCATCTTCGTTGATCATGCTCAAATATGGGTTGTTGCCCAAGCGCAACTTAATTAAGCTCCGTGACTCCCCAAAAGTCCCTTTGGGGATCTCGGTCAGGTTGTTGCAACCGAGGTCCAGGAAAACCAGCCTGGAGGAAGTGCTAAGGGTGCCCGGCTCGATGTGCGAGAGAGAGTTGTTGCGGAGGTCCAGGTAGACCAGGTCGCTGTAGAGCACAAGGAAATCTGAAGGAATCCGTGGGATCCAGTTGTCTGCCAACAGCAGCCTCCGCACATCCAAGGGGATCTCGTCTGGAAGACGGGTAAGTCCGCGCCCGCTACAGTCCACAGTGTGAGGGTCTGGGCAAAGGCAGGTTGCTGGACAGTTTTCCCCTTGAGTGAACAAAGTGAAGAAGAGCAAGGCAAGGACAGGCTGGAGCCGGCAGACACATGGCAACATGGTCAAGAAAGAGGGAGAAAAGAGAGGGAATAGGGTCAGGGGTAAAGGGATGAGGGTCAGAGGGCAGGAGATAAGGAAAGGGGAGGGGAAAGGGAAATCGAGAAGAGAAAGAGAGGAATCAGTGCCAGCGCAGGAGCATCCTGCCGTCCTGGGCAAGAAATCTTAAGGCTTGCACATGGAGTGGCTTGAGCAAGATGCGAACGCTGTTTTCCAAGAGATCATGTAGCAAGCAGCCCTGGAGTGACGAACAGACTGCTGGCTTTGAAGGCACAAGGGGAGAAGAGATAGCGAGCTGTGGGAGGGAGCGCGAAAGCATGAGAGACTGAGGTAAAGGGGTGGAGAAATCAGCAGACAGAGGTAAACAGAGATCAGAGAGGCAGAATGAGTGGAAAATCAGAGGCACGGACAGATTGGCAGTGTGGAAGAGGAGGGGGGCTCTTCCAGCCGCTCTCTCGCAATTAACCCGCGTTTGATCGAAGCCTGGCGGTCTGACACAAAAGGATTCAGCATAGAGAGGCTCTGTCATGGTGAGCAAAGAGTGAAATTGTTGCATCCCTCCATTTGTCTCTCAACTGAGCACAGGAATGATTGCTCGACCGGTGGCTGTGAACATGAACCTTGGCATTTCGGAGCAGTTGTAACTGAGCTGTCATGGTCCTAATGAGGAGAATTCCCACAGAGAATTAGGTGCAAGGCAGCGGTATCCTCTTCCCAGCTCTTTTTCCTCTTCTTATCTCCCTTTCATCTGGCTCTCGTGTGCCGTGCGATGCCTAGGCACGACTGTATGTGATGAGAGGTTGTACATCACGGTTTTGCAGCTCTGTTGCTATGGTGAAGACATCCAAATATCCACAAAGAAGTTGTCTGCATGCAGATTAGAGACCGGCGTGGGGAGCGGGGGAAGTCTATCAGCATGCTGGCTCATGGACTCCACTCCTTTTGTCCTGTGTTGTCTTTGACGTTTAATATGGAGGGACGAGGCGACCATGCACTCAACATGTGATGTCATTTCCTTGTGAGATAAATTGTCACACAATTGCAACAGATTTTACATGTATGTATTTATGTCCTTATGCTCTTTAATCAATACATAGCCTCCTCCACATTATGAAAATCTATTCTGTATGTCAATAAATCAGAAAACCATTGGGACCCACATAACAGATTCTAGTAATTCTCTTGTCTTGACCTTCATATGACATAAATCGATTTCAAACCAATCCCAGTTTTTCCATAAGTGAGGTACACACAGACCCAGCCCTGCTTGCATTTTACTTTGCAGAAGTCAGTGCCAAAGTTAATTAGGGACGTTTCTGGAAGCAAAGGGCACGTCTTCGTTCATTTAGCTACCGCCTGGCAGTTCACTCAATCATTGCTGCTTAGTAAAGGACAGCCGGGAGGAGCTAGACAGCATTAGACTCTCACACAGCTCCTTCAGCATCTCCAGACAGGTAAATGGAATTAGGAAAGCAGACTTTGGTCACGACACAAAGAAAACCAGGAAATGACATAAATTTTACAGGTGAAACATAGCAGAATGGGGTCACAAAGCTATCAGTCTGCAATCTAATAGTGTATTTGAAAGAGTCGTGACCTAGAGTGAATACTGTAATTTACAGCTCACTGCTTAGTGCACTCGTCCAGAATAAAGGCAGGCTTTAAAACATCTTGGAGAAAGACATTCTCTGTGTGTGCCAGCCTCCCTCTTGAAGACAATGATCTTAGCAACTTTTTAGTTTCACATGAATTGAATTTGTCATATCGAAAAATGTAAAAAGTAACTGTCTTCAATTAATATAAATGAAACTGAATTAACTATTCAAAATGCCAAACATTAATATAAAAAAATCAATAAATACTATTGTTGTCAATATTTATCTTTTTCATTTTAAATTATTTAATTAATTAATAATTATTAATTTGCTGTAATTATTTATGTTTTGTTAAAGTTGCTTGGGATAAAAGCTTCTGGAAAGTAAATTAATATAAATGTTCATTTAGCAATCAGCATTCAGCAGCTTTTTTTACCTATAAAACCCCTCCTGTGCCTTGCTAGAAATACAGACAGGATCTAAGAATCGATGCAATACAAGGAATGCAAAGAAGTATCAAACATCACTCATGTCTTCATAATGGTGCACGCTACCAAAGGTAAAGTTCTCTATTGAAGTTCCATAGTTAACTTTGCATGTGTAAAATTAAGTCTCCTCCAGGTCCATCCCAAAAGACTTCAGACCCAGTCCAAGAATTGAAGCCTTTGTAGGATCCCTCAATTATCTTTGGAATAAGCCCATATTACCATAAAATCGCACAATTAATAAGATGCACATGGAAAATATGTAGGGGGCATATGTGTCTGTGACAGGGATTGCAATCATGACTTTCATTCCCTGGGAATAAATACTATACTTTATATGGGACAAACAAACCCTTATTCAAGACAGGCCATATTAAAAAATGCTTTTAGCTGGAAAGATATATATATATATATATATATATATATATATATATATATTAGGACCATGTCAGAGAAGAAACAAAAAAT